TTAATCAGAGTATCAGTGCAAAAAGAAAAGAAAGATTTGCTTAAACAGAGGAATACCTGTTCACTAGAGAAATATCCATGCACATATTCGATTGCTTTTAATTTGTATTCTGTCAAAACAGCCTAAAAATAGAAAAACAGTGTTAATATGTATCAGCAGAACAGTAATATGCACATCTGAAAACCACCCACACTGCAGCCCCCTCTTCAGCCCTGACACAGAAATGAAGCTAGAGTCACTGATGGGACCGACATTTTACTGCTCCAGGTTCCATGCCGCAAGGGGATGCCCTCAGACAGCCTTCCTGCTCGCTTCTACAAAGAAAGGGGACAGAACTGTGACAGGTAAGATTGGACTCTACACACAGAATTCCTGTAAATGTAATAAAAGTTCCACAACATCCCAAGTTCAACCACATTGTCATTTTTAAGAAGATCAAATGTATCAGACATTAATCATTCGCCAGACAATTATTTACTGAACATCTATTATGTGCTAAGTGATACAAGAAACGACCAAGACAGGGTCTAGTCGAGGCTGTCAGTATTTCAGGGGAATATGAGAATGCAAGGAACCAGAGAGCCCTGAATCCAATCCAGGTGCCTGCCACTAACTGGCAGTGTCGCCTTTGAGAGGCATTTTAATAACTCACGAGTGTCCTCCATAAAAGGGAACACCAGTCACTACCCACATCAGAGTTACTGTGAGGATTTAAATAGTCAATAGATCTGACATACAGATATTCATTAAGTGATGGCCCTTTCCTCAGATGGCATCTACCAAGGAGGGGCAGCTCAGAGCGAAGTCCAGTGGCTGTGAGGCAGCGCTATCTGGGGCCGACTTACATCACAGCTGTCCTCCCTCCAACTGGGTGCCGGGCTTAGCATGGAAAACCAACTCTCATTATTTGGTAACTACTGATCAACCACATTATCTACTACAAATCAATGAATCCCTTTGCTTTTAAAAACGCTAGGGAGTTGATTATCACTATTGGACA